GGAAGCTCACACACCCAGAAAGGAATAAGAATTTTGAGATAGATAATGAAAAAAAAATGCGTGTGTTTGTAAAAAGCAGTCATTGTGTAAATATACAGAACACTTAACGTGTAAACTTTATCCCTGTAGTAAGTATCAACAGGTTTTTTTCCAAAATTTCAGGGAACGTTATTGCGACTGGATACGAGACCCCAAAATAGCTTTAGATTTAACACATTGGCCGCATGGTTTCGCAATGGGACTGATGTCTCTTGCCCGACTGGTAACATTCATTTGCGAGTGAGCAAAGCGAACGATTGAATATAGTTTAATATTTTAGTGACAAAAAGCTCTCACCATCAATGTATATTAGATAAAAATGATGTCAATAAGCTAAGCAAGCCCCCTTCCCCTCCCATGCCCCTCTTCATATGCATGTTATTAAACCCAGTGGAAATACACGTTAATGGAAGATAAAGACTCTAAAACAATGTCTCCCTCTATATTAAACAGAAAATCCGTTTTGAATAATTTTGAATATAGACATAAAGTACACGTTTTTTAAAAATAAATATGGGTAAGTTGAAAATTGAAAAACATACAGGTTTTTTTTTGTTTATTCAATAAAGAGTTGTTTTTTGTAATTGTTATCCTCATTATCATTTACATTTTAATTTCTGATTTCTCAACCTGCTTTCTGTGATATTGTGTGCGAAATCGTTATTCATTTGATTTTTTTCGACACTACGAAAGCTAGAATCAATGAAATACTATGGCTGGGTACGACCAGGGTCTCACTTTAAAAATATATATATTAAAAAGGGCTAGGATTAATTAAATATATTGTAAAGTCATAGAAATAAACAAAAGTTTTTCGCGTAGCTTTTAGCCATATGCTTGATCCATGGCTACTGAATGTTTCAATAACACCGTGGTAGCTAGGGTCCATGATAAAACAAAGAGACCGATACACACTTCCTTTCTCAAACGACCGAGGATGAAATTAGCGATCATTCTTGTAAATTCGTATTGACCAAACCCACTGTCATGATGAGTTCGGGGAAAGTCGAGAAGTAGTCAGTCTGCACTATCAAATATCGTCGCTTAATTCAATTCTCCAGCGAGTTGCCCGAATTTGTTTACGCCAGCTCTGTCAACGAAGCAAGAATTATCGCGTCTTGCATGTCAAACACACTGTGTACACCATGTTCGTTTCGAATGTGTTTGGTGTTTCACTGTTTCCAGACATAATGGTCGAATTCACCTGGCAAAAACGTGGAAACCGATGGCAAATAAAAAGCATTGCTTTCTTTCTTTTTAGCAATTGCTTTCCTGAATAGAGATAATTTGTTTGTAATCATGTATCCTTAATTGTCTTGCTTTTGTTTAAACGAATTCATGGTAAACTTACGATTTCACTTGAAATTCAGTCATCAAAGAATAAATACTTACACCTTTGATTGCCCCGTTCCATTTTTCGGACAATAACAAAATTCACACTGTCTCCACTTTAATCTCACATTCACAAAAGGATGTAAAGATGATAAACCTAAATCTAGTATCACATTATACGAGAATATGTACATGCTTTCCATTTTAACATTAAGTTTCGCGAGGGAGCAGAATATTTAAAGTTGTGATTTTTATTTTTGGCCATCCTCCATAATCTGTTCATTATGTCCAAAGTCATGCGTCGGATATCCACATTTGTAACTAACTTCTACGGGTTTCCATTTACCCACTTTTGAACATTTACTATTCTTGTAGACATGTGTCTATTCCTGGTGGGGACAAAAAAAACTTGTTTACCTAGCTGAACGTGATGCAATCGGTTGACGTTTTGCATGATTACTGAGTGTCCGTGTACTAAAATTGATCCGAATCTTTTTATTAAACATGAAATCAATATTATGACTCAAATTACATAGTCAAGATTTGCTGGACACTCATCGGGGAGAGGGGGATTAGCATCCCGATGCGACGTCGTTCAAGATTCTATTTTCAGAAACGATTCCGTTTACCAGTGGGAGATAAGCGCTTGGAACTGAAATATGATTTTCTGTTTTAAATCATATTCCCCCCCCCCCCCATTCTTCTTCTTATTTCCGAATGGCCCAATATGTTGAAATGGGGGGGGGGGACAATAAACGAAACGATTACTTGTCTCTTGTCATATTCATTATTCTAGTTTTGTTATTATTTTTAAAATGTTTTTCATCCTTCAGAAGTTATTATTCTACGTCTGCTTTTTCCACGAAAAGCTAATAATTCGATCGGTGTTTTATTCACATCACGTCCCCATAGCAACAACATAATTGAAACTAACGTGTGGTGAGTCTTAAATGCCTAATGTGAATGTATCCTCATGCTATTTACGAGTGTAATCTAGAGTGAAACTCACTACTTGACGTCTATTTTCCTGTACTGTTGCAAACAAAAACAAAACAAAAATCTTCATTGAAAGAAGATGAAACACGTGCTTAGCACCTTACGATGAATGCTATGCTTCAATGACTCCATTTGCGCTTTCAAGAAGTTTAGATACTTTTTCAAAAATTCAATTTTCAGTTGTAAAAATCTTGCAAATCGTCTTGATATGGAATTACATGAGCTGTTTCATTCTATTACAAGGATGACTCTGTCTTTACTTTATAATATTCAAAATAACGTCAATTATAGTCTAACATTGAGGGGAGCAGTATTTTCAAATGTTTATGCAGTATAGAGCATAGGCACTCCTAACCCAAGCTGAAAACAATGCATTCCATAGCATATTATGGGATTTAAAAAAAAAACGATAATATTAAACATTTTAAATCAAGCAAAATTTAAAAAAAAAAATCTAATTTTCAAACTTAAATGTACTCTGGAAACTTATTTTGTTTCGTAGATACTGATCAATATTCGTTACTTGTATAGCTCGTTTGTTCTATTGTATGGTTTATGCATTTAATTTTAATTTTGTATATTTGAGTGGAAAAATAAATAAACCAAATCAAATCAAAAGTATGCCGATGATGTGAGGATGATATCATTCCTATACTTCGGCCTCTATCATGTCCGAACAGACTACACGAGGGAAAATGGTTCAGATGAACTATATTTCTGATATTGCCTTTAGAATCAGGGGACCAGAAACGTTCTAGTGCCCTGGGGTATGGTGACGGTATTTTATAATCATGTGTTATCTCGTCTCGGATATAATCGAGAATACAAGGTTCTCCTATTACCTTTCCATCAGACCCCCCCCCCCCCTCCCTTCCATGTTTGTTTGATGTTGTTGTTGTCTTGTCTGCGGCATTTCCATGTACATTATTTATGTTTGTTAATGGATTCGAAGTAAGAGGAACTTTCTTAAAGCTTTTTTTCAAAGAATTCGTGATAATTATGAAAAATCATTGAGATATCTGATAGGGAGTTTAGCAAATATAAAATTTAAATAATGAAAACCTAATAAAAATAAAAAAAATCATCAATAGCAAGGACAACTAAATGGCTATCAAATGGGTTCACCCGTTTTGGTACATTACATCGGAATGGATACTTGCAATGCGAAATCAAATAATCGACTGACTTGGTAATATCTCGTACTGGAATACCACGAAAATGGTTCATATCACTTTCTTTCCACATTGTTTTTCTCAACCCGTTGTTATCGAACTAGATAAATGTCATTGCCTAGTTCGGAAGCCATTATATTGAGGGGGGATATGTGCCCCCGCCTACGCCACTCTTTACGGTATCCACATAACCATACATTTGGTGTTTTTGTTGTTGTTTTAGTTTTTACTTATTTCTCATATATCGAGCATCTTTAGTCCTGTATTGTAGAGTATAAACCAAAGCATGAGTTTATCGTTATGAATAGGTGAATGAAAAATCATGCTGAACTTATGCTCAACAGATTCCCCAAACTTCTGTGTTTGTCGACGAAATTCCTCGCGGTGAACAGCAATAAGATCCCACGTTGATTTTTTTTCATTATTACGCCACGCAGACACTTATATTAGTTTTCATATTTCTACTATTCCTCGTTGTCGTCTAATTAGTAAAAGCATAAGCATATTTCTCACGTTATTCAAACAGATTGATTATCGAGTCCCTAATTATTTGTACCCTTTCCCGTAGGTATGTCTGTAACTCCACAAAGTATTGAAAGATTCCATGGACTGTTTCGTCATATCGAAAAAGAAATTTAGCCAGATGCGAGCATGGCTAATGTGGACAGCCCCTTTCTTGTATTATGCCAAATTCGAGACGACTTGCAATTCATGCAATTCAAGAACACATGATTAAGATTTATTGAAGGCAAAAAAATTAAATTTAAGATGTCCAACGTCCATTCTTTTCTCGGAATTTTTTCTCAGATTTTGAGAGCTCGCGTTCGTGACCACTTAAGCTGCCCGTTCAAAAAGATTATTAGTATGCGTATACACTACACGCACAAAGAACAATATAAATGTCGTCAAGGACAAATCTTTACAAAACGCCGTTTTAAGTGCTAAATATGTATTGAAAATCATTTCCATTCACAGTAATTTTTATATAAAATATACATGAACCTGATAAAAAGTTGCTTTTTTTCATTAGACCAAATGTATATTTTTTTAATTCAGGCCTGAAAATATAGTGACGAAACAAACTTAAATTAAATCTTGTTTCAAATAGAGACTTCCTTCACTATGCAACCCTCAGAACATTGCCTGTCTTGTTTTTGTGTTTGCTACTTTATATTCTGATACTAGAATGGTGTACATAGCTAATAATGAACCTACATTTATTTCAACGGGAACATTTTTTACCATTTCTTCTACAATTAGGAATGCTTTTTGTTATTTATAACATAATTGTTGAGAATGTCGTTATGTACATATGGCGTATATATAATTGTTGCCTTTTTTGTTTCTTAGCTTCTGTACGAGATAATCATTTATATAAAGTTTCTTTGAGACAGTTGTCAGTATGACGTAACAATGAACTAAATATAAATGTTGCCAATTTGAGGAATTTGAGATACGTACCGGCTTGTGTGAAGAGAGTTGCTAATGTCATCACGACTGCTACTGAAATTATGCTGTTGGGCTGCATCTATAAAAAGGAACGTAATAGACAATAAAATAAATCATTTAGTAAGGCTGCATAATGAAAAATAAAAAAAAAAAATATTCCATAAGCATTTCGATGATGATGTATCAAAACGGTTTAATCGGTAATATCTGTTTAAAGAATCTTATCATCAAATTTATTAATTGCTGTAGCAAAATATGTACTGAAAACAATTAATAGGGGCATTTTGAGGAAGTTTACTGTCTATAAATATTGGGTCTCGTTTTCAGGCAATAGTACCTTATTGTTAAGCACTTGTAATTGGGCGTTATTTCAACAGTTTAATCTGATACATAGTGAGTTACAGAATGACTAAAATTAGACGGGACAAAGTTAAGAAAATAATAGGTTTCAAATTGCAAATCAGCGTCAGGTATTTATGTTTCTTCTTCTCTTCCAGAGTACTCGATTTATACAAGGACAGTTTAAATCTCAAGTTAATTTGCAGTAGTAGGCGTACATGTCATCCAATGGCACGAAAAAACATTTCATTGGGTGAGGCTTTTAATCAATTTATACAATGTACACTGTACCAAGAATAATGTCTGAAATAGCTGTGCTTTCGACGAAGTCTTCTCAGATAAAGCAATTAATTTAGTTTCCTTTTATGCCAGAGGAGGATCCAGGCAATGTAATAAAGGGGGGGGGGCGCCTCTCGCGCTGATTTAAACGTACAGTACAAAGAAAAAAGTTTTGTGCGCGTCCCTGCACATATTTCCAGGCTAGCTTTCATAGGAATATGTACAAGGTATGGGGGTTCCCCGAACTTTTGCCTCCCCCTATGTTCCGTAAACAGATATCCGTTTCACATAATTCACCTCTCAAGTTACATCTTAATCAACTTTAAAATGTCGGGAGAAGGTTAAGAAAACGAAAGAGTTTCTTGCCGCGATTTACCCATTAGGCTTAACAAGTCAATTCTAAATATATAACTTCTATATTACCTGATTTTACTATGCTTATAATAGTCTATTCGTACATTCTACCTACCCTCTCTCTCTCTCTCTCTCTCTCTCTTTCTCCCTCCCTCTGTCTCTCTTTCTCTTTTCTCGTTTCTCTGTCTCTCTCTCTCACTCTCTCTTTCTCTCTTTCTCTCTATATTTCTCTTACTATTTCTCTCTCTCTCTCTCTCTCTCTCTCTTTCTCTTCAATTCCATTTTCCCGAAGTCTCTATCTCTCCGAATTCCTTCCAACTCTTCTTTGTTCATTTGTACTTTATCGTTTTTTTCCCGCTGCATCTGTTTCCGGTGCTAAAATGTTCTTTTACCAACACATTCTCATGCAGACTCACACTCTAATGAAATTAGATGTCGAAATTTCCGAAACGCGCGTCGATATTTTCTTATTCGTTGACCACCTCCAAAGTCTTATCATCCAAGTGTCTCGGGGAGCCGGTGGAAGATAATTGAAGTGATTTTGTGGGAAATCTAAGGATATAATGAGGAGGGACGTCTGGGACCCCCTGAGATAAAAAGTTAAAAAAGAAAAAATATTCCCAGGGAGCTCATTTCCAACTGCCAGAAAATATACCACATTAACATGCGAGATGAGCGAAAGATGCATTCATGGGCGGAGCTTTTTTAGGCGCGCATTTCGCCTTCAAATTCATCGAGGATAAAGAAATCATTTTGAAAATGTGATTCTCCTGTTCTCGTCTCTCTTTCAAACTATTTGTTCCCTTTCGTACTAGCATCTCATTTTTACCTCTTCTCCTCGGTTAATGACAATGGCTCCGATTTTTTTCCTGACTGAGTACGTTTTTTTCTTTATTTGGGGGGAGGGGGTCATTTCGGTGTTGTTTTTTTGTTTATTTTTAAATCATCATCAGTGTATTAGTAAATCATAAAGATCTTAAACATATAATATGCTTACATGTTCTGTTGATTTAACGTTTCATTTCCACGCTTTTTTAATGTTTTATTTCTTGTCTAGGTTATTTCTTTAAAATATACAATTTCTGTTATGAATTTAATTCTAGATAAATGACATTTATAGTACAGTATATCATTTATTATATAATTTGTACTATTTTTGTCTAATTTCAGATTTTAATTAGAGATCGTTACGTCACATCGTACGCAACCGTGTCCTCGCAAAAAACAGAGTCATACTAGGGCATATCAACATCGACAGGAAATAACTTAGTTATTTCATTTCTTCTCTCTCTCTCTCTCTCTCTCTCTCTCTCTTTCTCTCTCTTTCAATGAGTCTGAATTCTCATTCCAAATTCTCATCTTTGTAAATGTCTATAATTACTTCTCTCATTATTCTTGGGTTAAAATTTAACTCTCATTTTGTCTCTCGTAAAGAGAACAGATTTATCAAGAGATATTATTCTGTGCATCCGTTTAGGCATCTCTCTCCCTCCCTATCTAGTGGAAAAAAATATGAAGAGCGTTGCTAAGGAATGAAACAAAGAGAATCTTATCTTAGGAGAAGGCTCTTGGGAACTTTAATTAGAGCCAACCCAGTTCGCCAATGATGAATTGGGAATTTTTGTCATATCATTTTGGACATGGAAACGGGGTATTTTGTTAATATCCAGAATTAGGGGAAATGTCAAAAGTGTAGAACAAATACTTGAGATGGGAGGTTGGGCTTCAGTTTGTTTTCAGCGTAAGGGCTTCACAGAATGCCTCACTAGGTGGTTTGAACATTGCTCAAGATGTGGCAAAGATAAACAATTTAATATGGCTCACGATATTTTTATTCACCATCATTTATTTTTTCTTCTCCATTTTCTTCTTCCTTTTCTTCTCCTCCTTCTTCTTTTTCTACTTCATTTTGTTCCTCAATTCAAAAGCATTTATTTTAAATTTACACTTTAAAATACAAAATGACGTCGAGTTACAAAAATCAACGTTAGAGTTGGCAAGATATTTGTAGGAAATGAAAGGCATTAAACACTTTTGTCTTTCGTTTGTTCCTTACTGCATAAGTATTTAGCTTTTCCATTTTGGGTTCTCTATCTTTGCTTTTCCCTTCCTGTCTCTCTTTATACCTTGAAACTCTTTAAATAAAATATACCAATAAAACAAATGTACAAATGAACATGCATATAATGGAAATGTATTCTCATGCGTACGTTCCGTATTAGTGTTATATAAGTATTCACCGCTCTATTACCCTTAATTACCTATAAAAATTTTTTTTAAGCCAAAGTTACTACTTTTTAACCCATTTTCATTTACGTCATACTGTTACCGCACATTCATTACAATCACAATGCCCTTCAATTAGAGATCCTGAAAATACATTCCACAACAATATGTCCTTAATTATTCTGCCTTGTCTTAGGTTCTTTATGATTGGGGTTATTACGTTTCTGATGATTATACAATCATTTCCATTTCCATCGTCCTCCCTCTGTAATAATGCCTGTTGCTTTTTTTGGTTTGGGTTAATGCACAGGCGACGCTCATTACGAGTGCTCTCTGTGACGTAGATTTGACGCCAAGCTTGTTGATGTTAAATTTCTTTGATTCTCTGTCCAAACAGCGACTCCCATCATCAACCATGATTCGTATTATTAGAAGAAATCAAAAATGGGGCCAGATTAAAAAATGAGAGAGACTGAGGAGAAAATCAGTTTTGCACAGTCGTATCTAAAGATATTTCATCCCGTAATTTGGTAAAAGGACAACAGAGCCTCACTCAGACCCGGCCTCACTCTACAATTGGTAATGATTATTGTTGATTTCAATGAAGCCAGTTTGAAGAGTAAACATATTTTCGATCGTCTGCGCGGATATTACAGACATCGGTTTCGTTAAAGCGCGATTTATCAGCTTATGGCTTCATTAAAATTAATAAAAGCGGCACCCGGTTCTTTACCGTGATAAGAAATATAATGAAATCGACCTTTTAAGGCATCACTAAAGTCATTTAGAGTATATATCTTATTTTTGAAATGTAATGAATTAGTTGCTTCCGGAGGATGTTAGGAATGTGAAGTTATAAATTGAATGTAATTCCATTGCAAAACAAGGGTAAACCATAAACCCCTTACACCGTTTCATATCGTATGCATGTGTGTGTTTGAGAGGATGTGTGTGACGGTGCAACATAGCTATGACGTGCAACGTGTGCACACCCATTTGGACATTTCTTTATTAGTACCTACAAGTTGGAGTTTCTCATATTTTCACATTCTCTGTCATTATCCATCTTTTTTCGCCAGTTTTCCTTTCCATATACCTCTTCATTTTCTCCTTTTACATCTCTCTCTCTCTCTCTCCCTCAATAGATTGATAGATAGATAGATATGTATATATATCTCGTTCTAACGAATATTTGCATTTTTGTATTAAATTGATTGAAAACCATTCCTGAACATAATTATATTTTTTGTCCATGTTTATCGTTCTGTTTTTATTTTTCCGTGTAAAATGTTAGTTTCTTGCGCCTTAACTTCCGCTGGCATGTCAGAAACTGTTCTAAAGAAACGAAAAGGGACCCCTTTTTGTTAATATCTTCCTAGAAGAGATATTGAGGTAAATGGTGCAAATGTGGCCTGAATTCAGAAGAAGCATCCAAGGGCTCTCAGTGTTCCCCCGGGAGTCCTTGGTCCCTCACTCACAACTAAACAACACACCGAGGAGCAGTTGAGGATCCGGGCAGGGAGAAGTACCTCTTTGGCAAAAGGCATAAAACGAACAGTTACAAGATGCATTTCAAAATTGCGCGAGTTCTTAAAACGTGACATCCCGTACCACCGCGTCTTTTCTTTTTTTTTTGTTCGACCTTAGTTATGATTGACATTCAAAACTTAAATGGGGTACACTTTCCGAACGAAACAGTTTAACACGTATTTTTCAAATTTGAAGGGGACGCGCATGTAGTGTATTTTTGCGGTGTCAAGCACTTGCATTTTGAGGCTGAATTGCTGGTTGAATCGGCGCAAAGTAGCCGAACGGCATTCTGTTGCATAATTCATTATAATCTTAATTTGATTTGGTTGAATTCGAAACGTACGACT